AGTATTGCGCCACCAACAGTCTTGCTGCCATTATTAAATGCAAAATTAAGTTAGTCTCTACAACTGTACAATCAGTAATTATAATTAACAAAAATAACTGAGGGGTAAACTTTATCCTTTTTTAAAGAACATTTTGCATAATCCACCATGTTTTTATCCAAAATGCTCTAACCTTTTTACAATTCCACCATATATGGTAGTATGTAGCAATCAGCGCAATCACATCTCCAGCATTTAGGTTGTAAATTCGGATACATGGAGGCCTGTTTTTTAGGATCTAAATGCCATCTATAAAACATCTTATAAAAGTTCTCTCTCAACGCTTTTCATCGCCTTTCCGTCCCTTATCCACCGCTTCAGAAATGTCGCTGTTCCGTTGGAGTGAAACCACTTAATGTTTTGCTTCCTTTCGTTGCCAGCATTGCGTTGACGTCGTCCACATTGTGGGCCGCCGGCTGTTCAGTCAGAATCTGGTGAACATTTTCGTAGATGGCCAGCTCAAGAAAGTGGCCCAGCTACGTTTCCCATCCCTCAGCGAGGTATGTTGTCCTCGGGTCTCACCGTACAATTTTATGGATCTGTAAAAATCGCACCCAGGAGCAATAGCACTTAGAAATCTCACTTAAGACTTATATACCGCTTCACAGTGCTTCTTACAGCGCTGTCTAAGTGGTTTACAGAGTCAGCCTCTTGCCCCCAACAATCCGGGTCCTCATTTTACCAAAGGATGGGAGGCTCACTCAACCTGCAGCTGGGTGAGATTCGAACTGCCAAATTGCAGGCAGCCGGCAGTCAGCAGAAATATCCTGCAGTATCCTTCACTCTAACCGCCGCGCCACCACGGAGGACGCGGACAGCCAGAGGATGGTTTAAACCAGTACTACTGGTGGCCGCTTTAGGAAAGCCGGTGATATCCATCCATCAGCAAGGTGGATCAGATTCGTTCCTTCAAAGGGATCTAGGACAACTCACCGGAACGAATGTGAACTAAGAGGAAAATCACATTTGTTCCTTCGAAGGGATCTAGGACAGGGGTGTCAAACTTGATTTCATTGAGGGCCACATCAGGGTTGTGTTTGACCTCGGCGGGGTGGGGTGGGGTGGAGTGGGGGTGGCCAGGTTGGGCGTAGCCAGCTCGAAGTCACTTGTGTCGGGGCGCTGGTGGTGACCCAAGTGCTCTGCCAGCAAGAAACGGGCTCCTGAACTCCGTTTTCAGCTGCGATGGCCTCCTGCAACCGTCTGCCAGTGAAAACGGAGCTCTGTTTTTGCTGGCAGAAGCACCACGGGCCGATTCTTTGCTACTTCCAGGCAGCCCCATGAGTCAGATCTAAGCATCCCGTGGGCTGGATCCGGCCCCTGGGCCTTGAGATTGATACCCGTTATCTAGGACAACTAGCCACGACCAATTCATTGCGTTCAACTCGCCGCAGGACAATCTAATTCTGTATTATTCATTTCTTTCAGTTACTTTTTATTATTTTCGTTTTCGACAATATTATTGTAACTCTTGTATTTCTGGGATCGGCTTTATTTTATTATTATCGGCCATGGTTCCGCCAAAATTAAGCTAGGTTTTGCATTTGTTGAATTGTCCTGCGGTGAATTGTCTTGCGGCGAGTTGTTCTACGGCTCAACGCAATTTTGCACGATCACCTCAGACGGATTCTGCCAGTTTAACAACCATTTCGGTGATCGCATGCTTTGTGGCGATTGTGTGCTTCGCTCCGCGCACCTTCACGGTTATAACAAAACTTGCTTTTCTACCAAAGGTGGGTTGCTCCAGGTTCAGCCCGGTTCGGCCGAACCGATAGTGGAATTCAGGCCTGAGTCGCAGAACCGGCAGCAACCCAGGCCTGCCAGGCTCCCGAACTGGTTCCCTCACCGCCACTGGGCCGCCACCATTTTGATTTTTAGTGACTGCGTGTGCGCAGTTCACTGTAAATTGTTCTGCTCATGGCTGAAGGACAATTAATTAATTAATTAATTAATTAATTAATTAATTAGACTTATATACCGCTTCCTAGGGCTTTCAGCCCTCTCTAAGCGGTTTACAATTTTTTTAGCAAATTGAGTCAGCAACTTGCCCCCANATGCTTAAAGAGGGGAGGACTTCCACTCCCAGAATCCTCCAACCAGGATGCTTTGAGTAGGTGGACAAATCTCAGAATTCTTCATCCAGCATGGCAGTCTGGGGAATTGTGGGAGTTGAAATCTTCCCTAAAGTTTGTCAGAGCCAGAAACAGAACCCTAAACTAACATAATTAATGATGATTGAAAAGGCAAGCAGGTTCCTCTGTTCCGTTTGGAGAGAGCCTATTGGCCACAGGGACAGGACGTCTTTACCTGCTCAGGTGAATCTAAACACCTGCAGCCAAGATCAGCTTCCTTCCCATCCCACACAGCTTCTTCACGGCCAGCGGGACTGGCTTCGAAGCCTTCTTCACCACGGAGGGCATGTTGGTGGTGGCTGTTTGCACCAAGAAGGAGTACATGACGGTGGCTCTGCCAGAGATTCCCTTCAACGACGCAGCCTGGGTGAGCCACATGCGGGCGGGGCAGGGTTTGGGGTGTGCGGGAACAAAATCTGGGGGTCCCCCAAGGTGCCCCACGCCGCCAGTGCTGCACATTTGTAGCTGAGTCGGATCCCCTCTGGTGATTTTGGACAACAATTAGATGGGGATTGACCAAGATTGCTCCAAGGAGGCTCATCTGGATGCTTACTAAGCTACAAATTTGGGGTATTATTTTGTGCGGGGCGGGAGACTTTGGTTGTTAAGGAAAAAAAGACGCCCTGGGTCACCGAGAGTGAGTTTTCTTTAGCAACAAAAAGTCGTAAACTCAGACACGGCTCACTTAACAACCTCCTTTGTTTAGCAGTGCAAATTCAAGTTCCCGTTGCGGTCGTAAATCGAGGCCTACCTGTAATAAGACACCGCTTGGAGATTTATATCTCTTGAAAAATATCCGCTGGGCTGATAGTTTTCCGAATCGACCCGCGTTTTGTCCCTGGCGCTTTTTTTTTTTTAAATTAAAAATTTGGGGGGGAGAAAAACTTTTACAAATATTTAC